TAAATATCCGCTGTTTTATTTGGCGCAATTTGTTGATATCATTACTTTTGTAGAGAAGATAGTTTTGTAGAGAAGATATTTTTGTACAGAAGATTTTTGTGGAGACACTATTTTTGTAAAGAAGATACTTTTACAGTGAAGATATTTTTGTAGAGATTATACTTTTGCAAAAAAGATGTAACAAAATATATTCGGTTGAATTGGAGCTTAGACTTGGTGCTTTTTTTACCTTTTTTTAAAAAGGTAAGTTTTTTAGGTGATAAAGAAAATACGCGACCGCATCCAAGATGAATATTGACACAAACTAAAATGGAAAACGGAGAATAAACTTTTACGCGCTATAGGATGACCGCTTACGTTTTCATGTCAACGCGAGGATGTCGTATTTTTATCCAGTCTAATTTGCACTCTTTTCTTAGGACCGGAATACGTTTTTAAAGTATCGGACGAAGCGCTTGTCGAAGTGGAAGGCTTGTCCGTCGCGTCGGATCTAGACGAATCGTTATTTATTGAGACGTCGTCCGGTATAAAATGAGCTGGCTTGAGCCGCTCTACTGATACGGCTGTGGATCTGCCGTTTATTTCAATGTTGTAGACCTTATCCGACGTCCTTTCGAGTACCCTGAAGGGGCCCGAATAAGGCCGCTCTAATGGTTTCTTAACCGCGTCCTTACGGAGGAAGATGTGCGAACACTTCGACAATTCCTTAAATTGGAAAACGCGCTTTTTATAATGGTGTGCCACGGGTACCGGCTTCACCTGACGCATGTGCTGTCGAAAGTCGCCTACAAAAATTTGAGGATCCAGTGAAAAATCCTCCTGGAGGAAAAATTCTCCCGGAATCCGTAATACCGTACCGTACAGGAATTCGGCCGGCGAGGCTTTTGTGTCCATCCGTAAATGGGTGCGTAACCCGAGTAATACAGTGGGGAGGACATCCACCCAGTTCGGCGTGTTATGGCACATAATTGCCGCCTTGAAGGTGCGGTGCCAACGCTCAATCATGCCATTAGCGGCAAGGTGATAAGCCGTAGTACGGATGCGTTTGCAACCGATTAATTTAAGGAGGGCTGAGAAAAGCTGTGCTTCAAATTGCTGTGCTTCATTGTTGACCTTGATCGGTCGTAAGAATGTTAGGTGCACCGAAACGAGCGATCCAATTATCAAAGAACGCCTTGGCTACTGTTCTTGCAGTGATATCGGGGATTGGGATCGCTTCTGGCCAGCGGGAAAACCGGTCGATGATTGTTAAACAATACGTAAAGCCATTGCTCGGCTGCAAGGGACCAACTATGTCCATATGGACGTGGTCGAAACGCCCGTCGGGAACCGAAAACTGAGCCGGCTTAAGTTTGACGTGACGAGAGGTTTTGCACTGCTGGCAATCGACGTAGTTACCCGCCCAAGTCGCGACATCGCGATGCAGGTTAGGCCAGATATACCGCTGTCTGATGACACGGTCTGTAACTTTTGCATTTGGGTGCGCGGGGTTGTGGAACAGGTCGAAGACCTGTCTTCTAAGAGATGCTGGTATGTAGGGCCTGATTGATTCGCCTGACAATTCACAGTATAGCTCTGTGTTGGAAGAACCCCAGATAAATTTTTTTAATTTTAATGAGGACGAGTTTGATATCAAGAGGTGTTTAAGCTCCTCATCCTCTTTCTGCCTAGCGGCGAGGTCTACTAATTCGAATTCGACCGGGAGGCGGAGAGCCTCGATACGAGATAAATTATCGGCCACCACGTTTTCAGACCAGGCGAGGTGTTCTAACGCGGTGGTGAACTGCGCTATGTACGAGAGCTGACGTAACTGCCTCGGAGAGGCTTTATCTGACCTTTGCTGAAATGCATAAACGAGCGGTTTGTGGTCAGTTACGATTTTGAAATTACGACCTTCGAGGAAGTGTCGAAAAAACTTGATTGCTTCATAAATCGCGGTTAATTCGCGATCGTACGCGCTATAATTTCTCTGCGCCGGAGTAAACTTTCTAGAGAAGAAAGCTAAGGGTCTCCAACCGTCAGAGGTATATTGCTCAAGGGCCCCACCCATAGAGAAGTCCGAAGCATCTGACACGACGCGAGTGTCGGCAGAATTGGACGGGTGTGCAAGTAACGCGGCATTAGCAAGGTCGGCTTTGGCCTTGTCGAACGCGGTTTCGGCCTTCTGAGTCCACGGTATCTCACGTTTGTCATTTTTCCGCGAGTCCGTCAAGTATGCGTGTAGTGGGGCTTGTACGCGAGCGGCATGTCGAAGGCTGCGCCTATAAAAATTTAACGCGCCTAAAAACGACGAAGTTCCGCAACGGTCTTTGGCTTCGGGATATCCCGAATGGCAGCCAAATTTACGCGATGCCCGAGGAAAGTCAACTCCTCTACACCGAATATGCATTTGGATGGGTTAATAACTAACCCGGATTCCTTGAGTTTTTGAAAGACAATGCTTAGATGTTTCCTATGCTCCTCCATAGAAGAGGACGCTATAAGAATATCATCTATATAAGCAAATGCGAAGTCGAGATCCCGTAGGGCGTGGTGAATGTACCGCTGGAAGGTTTGAGCGGCATTCCGCAGACCGAATGTCATCGAAACGAATTCGAATAAACCGAACGGCGTGATGATGGCCGTCTTCGGTATATCGGCCTTTGCCATTGGAATCTGATGGTAGGCCTTGAAGAGATCAAGGGAGGTAAAGATTGACGTACCCAATGAGGTGAAGTCATGTAAGTACGGTATCGGATATTTATCCGGTATCGTGACGGCATTTAGGCGACGGTAATCACCGCATAACCGCCAATCGCCGTTACCTTTGCGGACGAGGTGGATTGGACTAGCCCAAGGACTGCTGGACGGCCTACAAATGCCTAACTCAGACAGCCTTTTTATTTCAGCCTTCGCTGCCTTTAATCTATCGGGGGGTAGCCGGCGTGGCCTCTCCGCGACGGGAGGGCCGTTCGTAACAATGTGGTGTTCGACAGCACATGCGGCAGGCGAGAGTGCCTGACCGCGACCGGTAACCTCGGGGAATCCCGACAAGATGTCCGCAAATTTATTGTCGCTATTAATTAACGATATTTTATTTTCCGGGACCGCTAAGATCTGTTCGGACGATGACAAGGACGTCACGCTGTCGATTAGTCGACTTTTGTGCAGGTCGACCGTTAATTTATAGTGTGTCAACACGTCTGCACCGAGGATTGCAAAAGGCACATTTGCCACGCGAAAAGTCCAAGTTATGGGACGCCGCAAGCCTAAGTCTAACGTAAGACGACGCTCGCCGAACGTATCTATTAAAGTATTGTTCGCTGCGAAAAGTTTAAGTGCCGAGGGCGTGTTTTTATCGCGCAGGGACGCTGGGAGTATTGATATCTCCGCGCCCGTATCAACCAAAAACCGTTGACCGATCGAAAACGTGAAGACGGTTTTGTTTATGCCCCAAATCCCCGACCGTCTCTTCGCGGGGAGAGCGGTTTAGTTTTCCGCCGCGTCATCTTTCCACGAGCAAGGCTTGCGGCAGGACGTGGCTTTCTTCCCGTATTTACGGTGAATGTAGCAGTAGCCTGTCTTATCATCAGACTTATCTGCTTCATCACCACGCTTAGTCTTATTACGCGTACGGGATGTGGACCTATCTCGGCGCAACTTTGCAACCGAGGTGCTCAGAGATTGGATCTGCTTAGTCAGCCTGTCGATCCGCTCGTCAGTGCTCAAGGGAGCTTTGGAACGAGCACTTCGGGATTCTTTCTTAGGCGCGACGACGGCGACAGCGGAACTAGGTCCGTTAATATCCGCGAGTTTATCCGCGATTTCTGCCAACTTTTGCAGATCAGGTTCGTTAGTAGCAACGAGAATCGCCTTATGCGTCTCAGGCAACAGCTCAATGAAGAGAGATCTTAATACGGCAGAACTGCATTGTCCACCGTTGAGCTGGTTCATCTGACTTAACAAATGAGAGGGTCTCCGGTCCCCCAGAACCTGTCCTTTTAGCAATTGCCGTAAGCGGGCCTCCGGCGAGACCGCGAACGTCGCGAGAATCCTATCTCTGAGCACTTTATACAAGTTAACAGGCGGTGGGTCCGCCGTAATTAAATCCCGGACATGAGAGATAACCTCTGGATCGAGGCCGGCGATCAAATAATCAACCTTAGTACTATCGACGGTAATATTCGCGTTCCGGAACGACGCTTCGACTAGCAAAAACCAATCTTCCGGGGCCTGCCGCCAGAAGGGCGGGATCTTAGGCACCCGATACGATTCCACGCGCGCGTCATCGTCCGGCATGTTTAAATTATGAGACGCGTACCGCGAACCGAGAAGAAATGAGAAAAAAGAAAAGAAACAGGAGAAATACCAGGACGAGGCAAAGCATATGCCTCGACGCTCTCGAAGCCCTTGTAGAGGCGTCGTCCCTCGAAGAAGGTGATGCCTGGACCCGAGATGATGGCGGGAGGAGGTTAGAGGCGCTGACCCGCTTTCCGTCGGACGGCGGTCCCGCTGGCTGCGCTGCCTAGATGTACCTCTGTGCCCTGCGTCGGTGTACACGTACTCGAGGCTGAGTGTGTAACACGTCCCGTAAATCTGGTCCCCTTGCGTTGTACGGTGTGCTGTACGCCACAGTGTGGCAGAGAGCTACCTTGAGTCCGGTATGGACCCGTTGGCCGGTCAAGTGCGCCAAAATGGCTGCGCGGCGCGCGTCCGCAGAGATAGCTGCGTAGGCGGGAAAGCGTCCGCCGGGATGACTACGCCAGCACGAAGAAGTCCGCCGGGATGACTACGCCGGCACAAGTCGTGCACTGACCTGGGTGCGCCCTTAACTGGGCTCGGCCGCTTCGTCGGAGATGCCTCAGAACGGGATCCCGCCGATTTTTGTCCGTACATGGAGAACGGCCGATCTTGCGTCACCCAAAATGGCCTCCCTCGGGCGGTAGTAGACTCGCCCGAAGTTTCGGGAAGGCCCGATAATGGACTTGCCCGGGCGTCGATGTTGCCAAAAATTTTGGGCAGTCCGAGGATCCTCGTGCCGATAGGGCGTGGTTGAGGTCCTCTTCGTGCTACAGGTCAATCCCCGAACCGAGGGATGGCCTGAGCCTCGCCGTTGATCCCAGTTCCGCCGATGCGAGCGTGAAAGGCGCGGATGCGCAATCACGTCGGGGTCACCAATTGTGGGGCCTAAGGTTTAGATATATTACAGCCCGGCTGAAGTGCCCACAATTACTTCCTTGCCGATAGCTGATAGCGAAGGCGGGAATAACTCACTCACGGTATTGGAGATATGAGAACTTTATTTGAGATATTAGGTACACGGTAAGGTGATCAGTCTTGACCGTGACACAGGCGAATAACGACTAACTTATTCTGTCCCGCTTGGACAGCGCCACCAACGACCATAGACTGTGTCGTGGTATAGATGGGCAACTGCAAGTCGCCACATCCGGACTTCACCTGTTTTTATGGGCCGGTCGACTCGCACGCCCTCTTCGCCCTGTAGGGCCTCCCTTATTCGGGCCGCGAGTCGATCAGCCCTATCCGGGTGCCCTTCCCCGGACACCTCGAATATTGTGGCACCGGTAGCCGCCTTTCTAGTGTTTATGCGGCTACCGATGCCCAGCTCCTCTAAGTTTACCTTGGCGCGCACCCCGGCCACCACCCTGGCATACTGCCCCTGCGGGCACGTCAGGGTGAC